TGGTCGGCCATGTGGGAGTCCAGCACCCTTAACCACTATGCCCTCTGCTGGCCCCAGCAGATAAAAAAAAAACTTAAATCAATAGTCTAACTATACATATAAAAGAACTAGAGAAATAAGCCAAGAATGAATCTAAAGCTAATAGCATTAAGGAATTAATGAAGATCAGAGATAAAACAGAGAATTTAAAATCAGTAGAGAAAAATCAATGAAATCAAAAAGTTGGTTCTTCAAAGAGATAAAAAAAATGACAATCCTTTAACTTGACTTACTATACAAAGAGAGGACTCTAGTAATTGAAAGAAATAAAATTGATATTATTATTGTTTTTACAGAAATAAGATTATGGAAGAATGTAATACACATTTGTATACCAAGAATTTGGATAATCTAGAAGACCTAGAAACTTCAAGAAAAACTGAATCTACTATGAATGAACCAAAAAGAAACAGATAGTTTAAATAGACCTATAACAAATAAGGAGACTGAATCAGTAATAAGAAAAACCTTCAAAGGAAACCCCAGGACCCAATGGATTCAATGGTGAATGCAACAGTTATTGATATGAGAATTAACAGTAATATTTTTTAAATTGTTTTCTCCCAAAACAAACAGAGGTTATGCTTTCTAACTCATTCTACGACTCCAGTATTACTCTGATATCAAAACTGGTCAAAGATACTATAAAAAAAGGGAAACTAAGGCCAATATCCTTTCTGAATACAAATGTAAAATTCCTCAAAAATTACTAGTAAACGGAATTGAGCAGCATAAAAAGGACTGTAACCACGACCAAGTGAAATTTACTCCCAGAATGCAAGTGTAATCCAATACACAAAAAAGCAATTGATGCAATACACTATATAATAGATCAAAGAGAAAAAGCCCAAATGATCATTTTCAGTGATCCAGAAAGAACTGTTCTGTAAAAGTCAAATTCTGTTTTATGAGAAAAAAATTCTATGAACTAGGAATTAAAAAAAAAAAAAAGCTTTGTCAGCATGCTGACAGTCATATATGAAAAACCCACAGCTAACATCATACTCGATGGTGAAAACTGAAAGTTTATCTGCTATGATACAACAAAACAATGCCTGCTTTCACCAGGTATATCCACCATAGCACTGGAAGCTCTAACCAGAGTAATTAGGTAAAAAGAAATAATGGCATCCGAATTGGAAATAAAGATGTAAATTTATTTGTCACAGATGACATGATCTTACATGTAAAAAACACAAAATAATCCACAAAGGAAAAAAAACTGTTGGAGTTGATAAATGAATTTAGCAAATTTTCAGTATAGACCAACAACATATAAAATTGGTTGATTTCTATGCACTAGCAATGAACAATCTGTAAAATAAATCAAGCATATGATTGATTTTCTATTTATAAAAGTATCAAAATAGCACTCCCAATAAAATGCTACTTCATAATTATTAGAATGGCTATTATAAAAAAATATGGACAGTAGCAAGTATTAGTGAGGCTGTGGAAAAATAAGAAGCCTTGTGCATTGTTAGGAGAGATGTGCAATGGTGTAGCTGCCAATTAAAACAGTTTAGTAGTTCCTCAGAAATTAAACATAGCATTACTACATGACATCACAATTCCACCCCTAATGTGATAGTTATGTTGATTTGACTTGGACTAGGGATGCCCAGACTAAATATTATTTCTAGGTATATTTGTGAGAATGTTTCTGGAAGAGATTACCATTTCAATTGGTGGACTGAATGAAGCACACTGCCTTCTCCAGTCCAGGTTAAGACATCATCTAGTCAGTTGAAGGATTGAATTGAACAAAAAGGCAAAGGAAGAAGAAATTCTCCACTTTTCACTTCCTGCCTGCCTGCTTAAGCTGGGATACTGATATTCTTCTGTTCTTAGATTGAGATTTACCCCATTAGCTTCCCTGATTCTTAGGTTTTCTAACTTAGGACTTGTACTGGAATTATTATATATCACTGGCTTTCCTAATGCTCCATCTTGCAAATGGCAGACAATGGAACTTCCCAGCCTCCACAGTAGAGTGGACCTATTCTTCTTAATTATTTATATAATTTTATTTATCATTATTGTTGGGTTTCTTTTGAATTTGTTACAGGGCACATGCACTCACCAAAGAGAGAGAAAGAGAGAGAGCAAATCGCCGGGGTCCAGGACTAGAATCACAGTTGTTCATGTCCAATGCCTTAACCACCACGGCACCTACTGGCACCCCAATACCTCTTAATAAATCTCTTTTTATGAACACACCTTGCATGTGTGCTATTAGTTCTATATCTCTCAAAGACTCTGCCATACCTCAATGCATACACAAAAGAACTGAAAACAAGGACTCCGAAACTGTTCAAAAAATGTTCATACCATCATTATTCAATATCCAAAAGGTAGAAACAACACACCCACTTATCAACAGATGCACTGACAAAATGTGGTATATACATACAATGGACTCTTAGTCATAAATAAAGTTTTGATATATGCTACAAAAGAGATAAACCTTAAAAACACTTTGCTTAATTAAATAAGATAGACATAAAAGGACAAATATCATATGATTCACTTATATAAGGTATCTAAAACAGGCAAACTTTTAGAGACAAAGAGTAGAATAGGGTTACCAGGAGCTGGGGTGGGAGTGGGTATGGGTAGTTATTGCTAAATGCCAATGGGTATAAGGTTTCTGTTTGGGATGTTGAAAGAAAGTTGCAAAAGTAATGCTAATGGTAGTACAACAATCTAAATGTGCTTAATATAGCTTAGTTATACACTAAAAATGGGTGAAATAGTATGTTTTGTTATATATCTTTTGTACAATAAAAGTATAGAATAGGCAACATATAGCATAAGTTCCATGGAAATCAACTATATCAATAACACTATAAATGCCCTTTGGTTCTCTCCCATTTTCTTTTGTCTCCTCCCACTCATTTGTGCCTTTCCATTGAGCTCTAGGCCTGTATTGCACCCATCATCTAACTAATGAGACTCAGGGTTTTTAATATCATGCCCTTTGATTTAAAAGAAATAGACATGCATATCACCACATATACACATATTGTATGAAAACAAAGACATCTATCATTTTGCTTCA